CATAAACCAGTTTAAGTGATTAGAAGCTGGTTTAAACCTGTAACAGAACAGAAGCTCAGTGCACATAAACCAGTTTCAAAATGGCTGAAACTGGTTGAAGATAAACCTGGTTGAATGTAGTATGAGACTTAACCTGGGTCAAACCAGTTTATGAAACTTCTGTCCCAGACCCCTTCCTGGTTCAAGTTAAATCAGAGTCCCCCAGCATCTGAGCATGCTTTGCAGCCCTGGGCCAGGCTGTGTTGTTTGCTCCAGAGAACAGGGCTGGCCCTGCCCCTCTTCTCCCTAGCTGGAGCAGTGAGTGCTGGCTGACAAGGGGATGGGGGGTGGGCAAGCCCAGCTGGGGATGCAGCCCAGTCTTCAGGGTTGGAGGCTGCCACTCCCAGCAAGCCCCGTCTGGGGCCAGGGCTGGGGGTGTTAAATACCACTTTGCCCACCCAAACTCACTGCTGGCTGCAACTGTGGACTACAAATCCAAGAGGCACCTGGAAACAGGAAGAGAAAGTGATGAGTAACCCTGCAGAGTCCTGCTGCTGTAATTCTGGATTACAAATCCCAGAGACCTTGGGGGCAGTAGAAAGAGGAAAGGAACATAGCCGGGGAGCTGTGCTCTAGTGCTCTCTGGTGTCTGGCTTGAGCCACTGCAGGTATGTGGCTGCATATCCTGAATCAAAGGTAAATGTCTGTTCACTTCTGTTTCAATTTAATTTGTAAAGCTCAGACTAACCCACAACGACTTTAGACTAACCATTCATCCTCAGGCTTTTTTGACTCCCTATACCTAGCCCAGAGTGTTGATGAGCAGAGGCCTAACTAGGAGCTATACTTGTGAGTTGCCACTGCCAAGCTGGTGAGCCAGGACAGGCTTCTATCCCTGCTGTGGGGGGGAGGCGGGTAAGAGAGATGGGTTGGGGCGGGTAGAAACATGAAGCTGGGAAGCAGAGTTAATGGGATGGGGTGAGTAATGAAATGGGAGGTGAAAAGGAAATGGGAGTGGAGGAAGGGTGGTAAAATGAAGTCAGTCAGCCACTGAAGGATAAAATAAAAAGAAGTAGAAAAGAAGAAGAAAAAAGATAATTTAAAAAGAAATAAAGAAGTAAATTAAAGGAGGTCTCATGTTTTAATATATTGGGATTTAGAATTGGGATATCGGGGTTGATGGTCATGTTTCCTGGTGTGGCTGGGAAGTGGAAGTGATGAAGGAAGGTGTTTTTGAGAGAGCTAGTGACCCTGCCCTGGGAAGGACGTCCCAGCTCATAGGGACCTGATCCAGCCCCCTACCTTGTTCTTCTCCCCCAACCCTACTCCTGGACCCTTCTGTGCCCTGCAACCTAGTTAGCTGGCATGTACTCTGAAGGTTGTTTGTATGGGGTCACACCCCCAGGGGCAAGAGGGGGATTTGGCTTGGTACCAGAACTGCCCCCTCGGCAGTAGAGTTCAGGAGGTGAAAAGTTTGTCCGCATAGAACAGGAGGGTAAGAGAGGACCCTGCATTATGGGATGCTTAAGGACTGCAACTTGGGCAGCTTATCTGTGGGGAATGGCCGCATATTAATAGAACACAGAACAGAGATAAACCTGCCCTTCAGTGGTGTAGCTTTAAGCAGTCTAAAGTGTGCTTAAAACTAGTTTCAGGTGTTAATGTGTAGACAATCCAGGGGTCAGGAACAACTTAAAATTAATGTGTAACAAGGCTCTGAGATCAGGATTCAAATCTAGTTTGCCTTGCTCAGTCTCCAGTGAGCTGAAGCCCACACCTGAAAAGCACCGTTCAGCACATGTACCTGTACTGTATTTATACCTGCTCTGCCCCTTTCTGGGGCCCATTTCCTTCATAGAGGTCAGACCAGCACCTTTTACTACAGCAGAAAAGTATGAAGTTCTGCACCATGGCAGAAAACTATGAAGTTCATTAACAAACCCCTGAACATGAGGGGACCCAGAGAACTTGTTCCATCAGATTTGGCCACATGGTATGGCGCTTCCTGGGTCTTATACCATGGCAGTGAGTCTTGGGAAAAATTAATCTGTGAACTGGCTGGATCTAGGGAACACAAGCAAGCTAACTGAATTAACTCTTGCCAGCTGAATTGAAATAAAACAAATGTCTCTGTTCTGCTTCCTTCCCATTTCTTGCCTCCCTTTAGCCTCACCCACCTCTCCTGCCTCTTATTTTTTACACTTGGGTTGTTAAGAAAAATTACAGGCATGAGGGTCCCTGACATAATTACAGTTTGCTGGGAAAATCTCTGCCTGCAGCAGTAATTCCTGTAGTGCTGGAGACAAACACAGGATACTGCTGAGGCCTAATAACTGTGTTTTCACTAGGCCCTGAGTCTAATCTGTCATCAGCTGAGAGGCCACTGACTCCAGCCACACACTTGAATGTGAGATTCTCAGCCCATCTCTTCCCCCTTTTCAGAAAAAGGCAGTGCCAGAGGGATGGTATGTTTCCATTCATTCCTTACCCTCAGCCACGGTGATACTATAACTTCAATGCATGGCTTATCTCTTCTCTGTGCCTAGTATCAGGCCACTCAAAGCCTTGTTGGAAGAGGCTCAAGTGGCTGTTTTCATCTTACACACAGATGCAGAACTGGTATGGAGTGGTAATGATTGCAGTTCCAAAATATAATTTAGGCAGAGATAAGTTAAAGCAGAGTCCTAATAAGCCTACCACTTCTTTCTCCTGTTTCTAAAATATACATCACTTCCTGCTTGACAGGCAGACAAGACTTTGTGCTTTGTATGTAGTATAACTGATTTTTTTTCTTTTTTTTTGCAAGTGAAAACTCAAGAGAATGCAGAAATCCCGATGATTGAATGGAGTGGCAGATAAGTACCATGGCAGGAAGGATGGGAAACCAGGCAGAAGAGAAGGACGGGGCTGAGAATGCTGTCAGGGGTGGGACAAACTCTTCATATCTGCTGACTAGCAAATACCCTCATGTGGTATTGAAAGAAGGCAGGTTTTGACTCCAGAGTTCTGGTGCTACAAGAGGACTTTAAGGCTAGTAGATCTGGGCAGAAGTTAGCAAGATGACAATTTGGTGTAGGCTCAAGGATTTTTAATCGGACTCCCAAATGTGTCATAAGTGGGAACAGGCAGAAAGAAGGGAGTATGCAGGTATGTGTGTGTTTCCAAGTCATGTAACTGTTGGGGGTGGAATATCTAGGTTATTATATTGATGCCCCACACTCTAGTACCTTTGTAGCCTAATTTACAAAATGACAGGCCAGGGTTGCAGCAGGGAAGGTTGACTAGTGTTGTGCTGGGCCAGGTAGTAGGAAGGAAAAAAGGAGAGAATTTATGTTATCTGATCTGGTGCCAGGAGACAGCAGATTTAAAATAGCATGATGATGTGGCAGTGGCTGGGTCAGGAACTTATATATATCAGTTCTCTTTTTCAGCTTCGCACATGGAACTTGTGCACAGCCTGAATTCAAAGCTGAAACTCCTCAGATCCCTGTAATTAATTGGTGTATGACAACTTTTGTGTCACTGGAACATACAATATTTCTTACAGTAAGAAGGTGAATGGAGGCTGAGGCGCAGCCTGAGTGGGGGAGAGTGATTCACAAAGGCAGAAAAGGGAAAGCAAGGTATGGGGTTACATTAGATTACAAGAATGGAGATAGGCTGTATATCAATATGCTTTGACCCACAAGGAAAGGTCAAGGTGAGTGGGAGGTGGTAATAATGGCAGAATGGGAAAGGAAAGATTGACTCAGGTTAAATTTCAATCAGGGGGTGACATGGAAAGGAGGCTTTAAGGTGAAATGTGAAGACAGGAAGCAACTGCATCACTCAGAAGCCGTGGGAGTGTATTGCACATACACAGGGTGTGAGTCAAACCAGCTGCTAACAAATGGTAACACTGCTTTGGTCACTAAAACTGAACAAATCTGGTCCTGAAATCACTTTCTACCAACAGGGAGCAAATCGGAAATTGAGCCCTCAGTCACTTGGCACAGAGACTATATACTGTTGTATGTTCTAGCAAGGGAAAAGCTCCCTCTGACTACTGTGTTGCTGGGACCGTGACTGGATGAGACTGAGACTTCTTTGTGGGGTCTTAGGAGAAAAGCTCTAGCCAACAGAAATTGTGGTAAATTCCTGTGCAGGTAGCAACTGAACACTGTACATTTAGGTACAACTCTATGCGGGAATAGCTCATATGGATGGGATGTTTAACATTCCTCACTATAGAGATTATCATTTATATCGGAGTAGTTTATGATTGACTTCAGTGACTAGGGAACTGTGTATTTAGAGAGCTTTTGGACATCAAGGAGGACTTAGAGGTCCAGTGCTGCATGAAGCCACTTTCCAACTCATGGACTTTTTTGACTTTGCAAGCAGCTGTTATTTTTCAGGTCCTAATTTGGGAATAGAAATTGGTCACACAGGTCCAAACCAAACTGAAACAGCTTTTACGCACAGACAGCTCCAGTCGACTTGAGAGTGAAACTGCTTAATGCCAAATGCCCGCTCTT